ACACGAAATCGGTGTTCTAATTCCGACCTCTACCTCTCTTGGTAGAGGTCGCAAAATGAAATACTGATTCTGTATAGGCTCCCGTAAACATCGCCTGTGTTTCGATACAGCCGACGTGGAGTCACCTGACCGATGCATGCCTTTGATCACTGATTGCGTTAGTAAATAGAATCTAAATTGTATATCGTATTTGGCAATACGATATGTATGAAGTTGATGAAGGTGAAAAAAGGAAGAACAAAAATAAAGATGAATTTCGTTGTTGATTTAATATTGTATATGTACTAGTTAAATCGTGTCATAACTTCAGTACATACATACAGGGTGTTCGGCTACCTCTAGCAAAAATTTTAATGAGCGATAGTAGAGGCCAAAATAAGACGAAAATCAAGAATACTAATTTGTTGATGGAGGCTTCGTTGCAAAGTTATTAACATTTAAAGTTCCGCCTGTAGAATGACAATCCGCTAAACAGCTGCGTTCGCACGGACGGTTGCGGCAGGCGAGTGCTAGTGGTTCTCACGCAGCATGAAAAATTCTGCTTACCGACATTATCGACAGCCTTAGATTTTTGTCCACTTATGGGAATGCGAACACCTTACGTTGAATAAGATTCAACCTGTCTTATGAAAATCCAGAAGGGCATATCAAAACTCGCCCGACGAGATTTTCACAGAGAAAGGGTGAATGCCAGTTCTAATACACAATGTTGTGAACAAAAATCACCCACATGCGATTATACACGCCCCACGATTGTCCACAGTGTCCACAAGTATCCACAAATAATCCTTTCAGGCACTAACCACTATGCAATTAAATAAACACGTACCGCGATTATGTTATTCGTGAATGTCTACGTGTACGTGTATCACGATTCTTCCAAGTTACTCACGAATAAAACTGTTATTAATTTTTCAAATACACTTCAATTTAAAAATGTAAAAAGGAATCGCAGGATAAATGAAATTTTCGCATCGATTTACGTTCACGGCGAAGAATGTAACAATACTAGCAGCTGACTGTGCCATCGATCGACGAGGTTCAGAAAAACAAATGCCGAACAGGACCCCGATCTACGTCACTCGCCTCGCTTATCTCTTTCATACACAGCGGAGACAAAGGGCAGCATCGGTACTTACGTGTTCAGCCAGCTAGTCAGTCGTAAAACGCGTTCACGCGACACATTTTAGACATATTTGATTCAGTTATTGTTGCGACGCGAGCAGGACCTCGCAATTTAGCCTTTATGGCAGGGTTAGTTGGCGACAGTCAAGGCCCTCGGTCGAGCCGTCGGGCGGGCCTGCAAACGACCCTCAGCCTTTTGTTTCTCAAGGGTAACCAAGACGGAGTTTTCTAGACAGCTGAAATGCACGTGCGCGGCTAGCGTGCACTTTCACTTGGCTAGCTTTCACTTAATTGTTACTAACATTCAAATTTACTAGAAAACTCCGTCCCAACCCCGGAAAGGGCTTCCTCACCAGAGCCTGCCCTTTCCGCCAGTACAGTCAAACCACACCCACACAGAACAACTACACCAATCATTCAGAACCAACGACACTCCTACAACGCGACACATTAGCCAATAACATTCCACCATCCATGTAAATACCGACATCAGACCTGAAATAGACATTCCACGTTACACAGTCAAAAAGTCAACTATGCTCGTTCAGTACTACATTCATTTATTCCAACTATTCCGATAGTAATAACTTACTCTTCGGAAAGCGTTCCTTTCGCGCCACTCCAATTTTACCGGTCGCGAGAGTCCACGCAACAGTTATGTATTAAGTAGCATGTAAGAAATACAGTGATATAAACAATCAGCGAATACTTATTAAATTTCTGTTTACATTTTTAAATTGAAGTGTATTTGAAAAATTAATAACAGTTTTATTCGTGAGTAACTTGGAAGAATCGTGATACACGTACACGTAGACATTCACGAATAACATAATCGCGGTACGTGTTTATTTAATTGCATAGTGGTTAGTGCCTGAAAGGATTATTTGTGGATACTTGTGGACACTGTGGACAATCGTGGGGCGTGTATAATCGCATGTGGGTGATTTTTGTTCACAACATTGTGTATTAGAACTGGCATTCACCCTTTCTCTGTGAAAATCTCGTCGGGCGAGTTTTGATATGCCCTTCTGGATTTTCATAAGACAGGTTGAATCTTATTCAACGTAAGATGTTCGCATTCCCATAAGTGGACAAAAATCTAAGGCTGTCGATAATGTCGGTAAGCAGGATTTTTCATGCTGCGTGAGAACCACTAGCACTCGCCTGCCGCAACCGTCCGCGCGAACGCAGCTGTTTAGCGGATTGTCATTCTACAGGCGGAACTTTAAATGTTAATAACTTTGCAACGAAGCCTCCATCAACAAATTAGTATTCTTGATTTTCGTCTTATTTTGGCCTCTACTATCGCTCATTAAAATTTTTGCTAGAGGTAGCCGAACACCCTGTATATATATGTATCGCTCGTTTACTGCAGTAGTGATATGACTCTAGAAGATACAACTTGCGAATTTGAACTGTTTAAGCAACTTATTTTACTCTGAGTTGTCTCACAATTTCAGCAAATAAATGATAGGTCAATTAAATTACAATTCCTTTTTTCAGATGAGGATACATTTTAAAGAAAGGACAAATGTATATTATAATTTATGAAAAACAATAATAAAAATTATATTGTACTTGATCTTCGTTAAATCAGAAAACTGTTACAGACATGTTAAAAGTTTCAAAACAAGAAAAGGAAAAATAAAAAATTTGTTATATTGCACTAGTGTTGCCTTAGTAATTTGAACCCGTATGTATGACAATGTTCGACGACCGACCGTCAAGCGCGCCGCTATCTTGGGGAACCGCCCATAGACAGGCACCGGTACAGCGAGTGCTGGGTTCTAATGGTACGCAGTGGGGATAAGTAAAGGGGATACGATATTTGCCTACATATATCGTGAACAAGTTCTGAAGCTTATACATACATATAGAGAAATTGTGTCTTCCTTTCTGCCTCCATAGCTTTCCTTGTTGGTATTTATTGGGTTTGTTATTAGATCATTTGATTTCTCTTTAGTCTTCTTTGTATTATCTTTATCGTTGAGTGGATTGTTTGCCACAATTTGTCGGGGTGAGAGATTGCTGTGTCTATTTTTGTGATTTTCTGATGTGGCTTGTGTGGAGGAAGTAGTAAGTGAGATAGCAAGAGGAACGAAAAAGCAAGGAGAGGAGCGAGAAGCTTTGCCTTAGACGCTGGTACATTCAATGGTCAGTCGAGGAGTGTGTATATGTATAGAAATAGGTGGTCGGTCGAGTATTTGTGAGAGAGCGTTCTCTGTTGGCGAGTGCAAGAAGCGTTGTCACACAACGCTATGTAGATAAAATACAATTTTACAGTTCAATAGAAGAAGCATGGTAAAATCACAGACGTGATATACAAGCACAGACGAGCAGACCTTTCACCTTATGGACTTTCGTGACCCAATCTGACTGCCATAACGACCTGAAAATTCGGAGGTGGTTTTAACGCCCTCTTCTCATGGATGACGGTCAGCTGAGAAACTATTCACTGAATTAGTATTGATGTGCAGACAGCTGTAGTGTGTGCGTAAATACATGTGAGTTGACTATGGAAGGGATTAAAAAACGAAATTTTCAAACGACCATAACTCCTACAATAATGAATGTATTTTATTGAAATTTATTTCCGAAATAGAGCTCATGGATACTTTTCTATAGGGCGACAAACAAAATTATTAAAAATCAAACACTAAGATTTAAGAAAAATCGACAGGAGGTAGATGCCTAAATTTTTTGACGAAAAAAAAAATTTCAAATCGTTCTGAAAAATTATTCTTGGTTGAGAGGTCAATTACAACCATTTTTGGTGAATAGACATACCTCCGAAATCCTACCCATTTTCGAGAAAAAAATTCGTGTATGTGCTGAAATTTTTCGGCAAAATTGAAAAGTTTCAAATCATTTTGGAAAAATTATTTTCTGTTGCGGGGGTCAGTTACAATTATTTTTCGTGTAAAGCCCCAGAAAAATGGGCCGAAAGAATACATTGGATATAAGGTCTACTCGTATACCTCGTCTGTGATAAAATCATTGAATTTTCTGGATAAAACTTTTACGTTTTACGTTTATTTTTCTTCGAATCCATAAACATAATTATTAAATTCTGTGGTAAAATGTCGAACGCCAGTGGAGAGTATAAATTTCCCTCAGTGCGAAAATTCGATCCACGAAACACACGGTCAACAGTGGATTTACGAGCTAGGAACGATCGCGAAAAAGTGGTCGTGAACGGTGTATACGCAACGCGACGACAAAAGAGGGACGCGGGATTGGATTCGGCCATGTTGTATCGCTTTATTTCTCCGGTCGCGCGACTCCCCAACCTTTGTGTTTCCGTAGCCGGCGAAAACGAGTTTAGGAAAACGCTTGGCCGTTACCGTTCGTCGCAAAAACAAGGCTTCTCGATCGACTTTGGCAGCCGGATCGCTGACGGTTCGCCGAACATCGCGTCGACGGATCTCTTTCTTCGCGAGCCAACGGAACACAGACCGAACTTGCCTCCGAAGCGTCGGATCACAAAAAACCTCGAGTGGTTTTATCCCGGCGATCCTACGTTACGTGGACATCCGTTTTTCTTCTGACTTCGTACAACCGCGTATACTGCCCGTTAAAAGTTCGAAAACCGCATCTTCTTGAGGGAATACGATCGCCTTCGAGGTAATCGAAGAAGCATTGCCCGTCTAACAGCGCCATTTTTGTTGGAAGTTGTTATCGTATCTTCTGGGCATACTGACAGGTAGAAGAGTCGCTGAGAATCTAAAATCGATTCTTTGTTTTATCTTCGCCAAATCCATACACGGGGCGGAAGAAACAAAAATTTTATTCCCGTTTCATAACCAAAATTTTCGATTCAAAGTGCAAGGTCGTTCTTTTGCTCCCGTTTAACGCGATCTTTTACAATTTTCCAGGTCACCAGTGGTTGAAGGCGAACCTGGACGTGATCCCGGAGTCGGGCTGGTCGGTGGACCCGTTCGGTCACGGTGGCACCATTCCGTACTTCCTGAAGGCGTCCGGCGCTTCCGGTACCGTGATCCAACGGATCCACTACGCGTGGAAACAGTGGTTCGCCAAGAAACAATATGGCGACTTCATCTGGCTGCATCCCTGGGATCAAACCGGGGAGGCGGACATGCTGACCCACAATCAGCCGTTCGACATCTACAACATTAAACACTCCTGCGGCCCTCATCCTCATGTCTGCCTGAACTTCGACTTCCGAAAGATACGGGGAGAGTACACCGAGTACTCGGTACGGGCGGTTGAGATTACGCCGAACAACGTCAAGCCAATGGCCGAGTTGCTTTTGGAACAATACTCACGGACGGGATCCTTGTTCACGCATAATGTCGTGCTGATGCCACTGGGCGACGACTTCAGGTTAGGATGATTCCATTTCCGGGCCCCCTTTCAAACTCTCGAAACTTTTGCGACGCTTGCTGGGTCGTTCCTTCCTATTGCTTTCAACCAACCTTTGGTCGCACGATTGTTGGCTACTACGATGGTTGTTAGTATCTCGAAAAACTGATTTACTTCTTATTGAGTTAGGTGTTTGAGAAGGACACCCCGTTGGAATTTATTTTAGTACAAAATTAACCACCACTGTGTTGAGTTCTTGAAAATTTCTAAGGAAAAAAAAAATAATTTGTGTTTGAGAATGCAGGAAAAATTGAATGAATTGCACTGAATAGTATAACTTGTAAAATCAACGCCTAACACCTTTACAATTATATTAATTCTAAGAAGTGATTTGGGAAAATGTTGATGAGAGTTGGAAACAATGAAATTAATTCACAACAGATAACTTATTTACAACGGGAACACGTGTTTACACTATCGGTTAAAATAAGCCTGGGGAGATGACCGCGAACTTGACCACCACGAGGCATCGATCCTCTAACACATAATCGAAACGCGTGCACGTCAATCATGTGCAGATGTCAAATTTTGGTGTTGAGCGTATCTCTTTTTAAACCGATAAGCGCGATGGTCGGTTCTCCCATGAACGCACGAAGCGTGCCTGGGAGGTGCTGCCATCTAGTACCGCGGTGAGCTGAATTCTTAATTATTTCTCCAACAATTCGAGTCGATCCAGTAACGGATTAAATTGATCGAATTATCATTGTTTGTCGCGTAAATCGCTGCATTTTCCTATATAAAATTCATTTTCAAAATGCAACGATAAGCATTTAATAATTGATGGACATATTTAATACCGTAATACTCGGGTTCATAATCTATTCTGAAATTAAAACACGAAGCCATTAACGGAACATTAATATGTAGGTTACTCGCGTCCAGATTAGGCGCGTCAAAACATTCACATTGATTTATCGATCCGTGTCACGGTGATTCTGTGCTTGATATATAAGTCATTATACCCAGGCTGACAAGAACGAGATCTAGTTCTTCGACGATATTTCCAATAATCTTGTAAAACGGTTGAGTCAATGCCCCTCTAACGCCATCCTCTTTGCTGTTTTAAGGTACGACCACGCGGTGGAATGGGACCAACAGTACACGAACTACAAGATTTTGATGGACTACATAAATAGCCGGAAGGACGAGTACAACGCCGAAATAGTGTTCGGGACGCCGAAAGATTACTTCCGCGAGATCCGAAAACGCGTGGAGAGCTTCCCGACCCTGAAAGGCGACTTCTTCGTCTACTCGGACATCTTCAGCGAGGGCAGGCCGGCTTACTGGAGTGGCTACTTTACCACGAGGCCGTACATGAAGATCCTGGACCGCGAGTTGGAGGCGAACCTCCGATCGGCGGAGATCCTCTACACCATCGCACTGAACGTCGCCAAACAGTCGGGGAAGGATTTCATGCTCTACGAGACGTATTTCGAGAAGCTGGTCAAGGCTAGACGGAATCTGGGCCTGTTCCAGCACCACGACGCGATCACCGGCACCTCGAAATCCTTCGTGATGAAGGACTACGCGTTGAAGCTGTTCGAATCCATCTCGGACACGACCAGCCTACAGAGCTTCGCCATTCAATCGTTGGCTGGAACGACCAGCAAACCGAACTCGGTGTACGTATTGGCGGAGTCCGACAGGGACAGCTACGAGAAGCTACCGAAGAAGATACCGATCGGCATTAACGACCAGGAGACGAAGAAGGTAGTTCTGTTCAATCCTCTAGCTCAACCTAGACAGGAAGTGATCAGTCTGAAGGTCACTTCTTACAGAATCAGAGTCCTGGACCCGCACAAGAACCCCATCCCTTATCAGATCGCGCCGGTGATGAACGCCACGAGCATCACGCACGACGTCTACGTATTGTTGTTCCTGGTTGAGCTGAAACCTCTGGCCATCGTCACCTATCATCTTCAACAGATCGACAAGGTACCCATGGAGGCGATCTCGACGGTCTACTGCAGCAGATGCGGTAAAGACAACGTGTTCCCCATAAAACCGATGCAAGTGGGCGACGTGCAGCTGGAGAACCAACGTATGAAGCTTCTGTTCGACGGACAGACGGGATTCCTGAAGCGGGTGACCAAGAAGGCGACCGGAAAGGTCATGCAGTGCGCGATCCAGTTCGCGGCGTACACGTCGGCGCAGTTCCACAGTGGGGCGTACCTGTTTATGCCCGACCCGAACCTCCGTGACACCGACAAGGATGTTCTCGAGGCGTACACGCCTCACCAGAAGATCTACATCGTCAGCGGGGTCCTCAGCTCGCGGTTGACCGTCGAGTACGGAAGACTGCTGACGCACCACGTGTCCATTTATCACCGGGACGGCGGTCTGGGCGAGGCGATCTGCCTGAGGAACATTGTGGACTTCGAGACACCGCCGAAGAACCGCGAGACAGAGATGTTCATGCGTTTGCAAACCGACATACTGAACGGCGATCCTCCAGAGTTCTACACGGACCTGAACGGCCACCAAATGATCAAGAGAACGAAAATAGAGAGGATAGGAATTGAGGGTAACTACTTTCCCATCACCACAATGGCCTACATCGAGGATACGAATCACAGGCTAACCTTGCTGGTGAACCACTGTCAAGGAGCCGCCAGCTACCAGCCAGGATGGCTGGAAGTGATGCTGGACAGGAGAACCCTGTACGACGATTCGCGAGGAATGGGCGAGGGTCTGCTTGACAATCGAAGGACCGTGATAAAACACTGGATGCTATTGGAGGACATCGTGGGGGAGAAGGACAAGCATTCGAAACCGTCTCTATTCGCTAATCACTTGAGCAACGCGCTTAATTATCCCGTGAACATCTTCGTGGTGGACGGGGCGGACTCTGATATCGTAATGGCGCCGGAGATCCGGCTGCTCAGTCAGAGTTTCCCGTGCGACGTTCATCTGCTCAACCTGAGGACCAATCACGATCAGAAACTACCAAACTTCCCGGTGAACAGCGCGCTGATGGTGCTTCACAGACAAGGTTACAGTTGCTCCGTGGGCGTGGACGTGGCCATGAAACACTGCCCGCTGACGGAGAAGATACCACAGGGGACGTTCTTCTTCAAGCTGGCCAAGCTGAACATCACCAAAACCTCCCTGACGGGCACCAAGACGAAGCATCGGCTCAAGGACGGCCTCCAGGAGGTCAGTCTGCAGCCAATGGAGCTGGAGACGTTCAACGTGAACTTCGTCCAATGATCTTAAGCCTTGTTCTCGGGGGCGAACGACGCCACCGGGAAACGCTCAGTCTTCGGCGAGGTCGACGCCCGAGTTCCGGAAGCGTTTGTTTTTTATCTTCGAAATGTCACTGCCTGTCCGCTTACTTTTCGGCAGACGCTATCTCCTCGGATCTGCGTTCTTTGGGTTGTTTTTATGTTTTATCTCTCTTCCTATTCGATAACTACCAGTGTAAATACTTGACGCGCGTCACGGCGGTGAAATTAATTAACCGGGACGAACGTCCTGCGCCAGTGTACATATACCAGGCTACTGTACTGTATTCCCTCGATCCTTTTTAGTTGAGTTTCCCTAGACGTGGACAACGACGGGAGGAAGAGGGAGTCCGGGAAAGAGAAGAAATTATAATCTGAAATTCGCTGGTCTTCTCGGGGTTCCGTACATCGGCTTTAGAAAATTGTAGGGACTCGACACGTTTTTGCTCGGGCTCTTGGGGCCCCGTTTCCGCGATCAGAACTAATGCACCGCGTCTAAGTGTCAATTTTTTTCATTCCCCGAAGCACCCGATTTAGCTGACCCGTCGACGGAGATCAGGCACCAAGAGTCGGCTCAAACAGATGCAATCAAACGATCTAAGTGCATTACAGTCTTCTAATCTGTATAGAGGTAGGGATTTTAATTTCGAGAATACGTGTTTCGTTTAATTCGGTCGCGCGAATGTTTCCTTTGTTTCTAAATAACGTGGGGAAATGTTTTGAAAAGTTTCTTTTCTATTTCTGTTCTGTGTATGAGAGAATCTTGGCTTTCTTAAACGTCCGCCATGTTTAAAATCGTTTAATTCGAAAACTATCAACGGTTAAAGTTAAAATTAAGCGTCGAGGCGCTTCCTTTTTCGATTTTGTCACTATCTAGAAAATAGCTCTTACCAGTTTTATGGGATAAACTTAACGCAAGATACGTATCATAGAAAAATTAGACTTCGTCAAACTCGTATTTCTGCACGCATTTAACAAAAGGGGAACCATTCAAGATGGCCTAGTTAAATAAATCATTCTGTCGACTATACATAGATACATATGTGTATATACATACATATAGATAAATATTGTTGCGAACACAAATCGAGATCAAAGTTCGACGATGTTGGATTACCCTTTCTGTTCATAAAAGTCTCGCAACAATATATTATATTTGTACATATCACTGTATCTTAGACCGTGTATTGTGATAGGAAGATATAATGTAAATGATATACACCTATTTTCATATGTGAAACATTTTATCGAAGACTCTCTCTTCCCCCAGAAAAATGGATGGAACGAAATTCACTAGCGTTTGCTGGTGATTTTTTTTCAACGCTCTTCCAATTCTAGCGGGGACACGATTCAGTTGAACCGAGGCCGGCTGGAAAGTACCTATTTTTTACTTTTGCTAAGCGTATCCGGCGGAAGAGGCGAAAAAATTCAATCAAGCGTCCGCTGTACGACAGACTCGTGTAAATATAGATTAATTAGCGGGACGGGGAGGGTGAGAACACGTCGTACGGTTTCCACGCGAGGTGAGCGTCGCGTTTACAGAATCAGAGGAGTATGTGCGTTGACGTTTCGTCGTATGCCGTACTTTTTGGTCATCGAAGCGAACAGGATATTTCTATTTTTTCTTAACATGATTTACGGACAAGTCCTCCTAAGGGACGCAACCCTTTTACCATTCTATTTTAACCTTTTTTAGTAATAGAAAAAATACTAGGTAAGTTCCAAAAGTATTTCTATTTTTTCCTGTAGTGTTCTTTTCTAAAAATGTCCCTGAGGGGGTATAGCAACTCTTGAAACTTTGGATTATCTTTTGATAAAAAGCGAACAAGTCCTGTTAACGGATGCAATCCTTTTATCTCTTTATTTTAACTTAGTTAAAAGTTATTTTAGTTATTTTTACTAGTAGAGAAAGGGGAAGACTCCTGAAACTTTGGGTTATTTTGTGATAAAAAGCAAGTTCGATGAAAAAAATCGATCTTGAACCCTCTAAAAATAATTTCTCTTTCAAGTTTAGTCGGTTTTAAATATTTAGAGAAAGAACGACCATTTAAATGGAAGTATAGTCGCGTTGCTATCGTTCCTAGTCTATCGTCCGTTTTCGAGTACGCTCGAACTTCAACTTGACCGGTATTTCCGTTGAAATGTGAGAGTGTGAATGTGAGAGAATTTTCGTAAGATGATCTTGATGTCGACGGGAGGAAAAGAACCACGAACGCGGCTCGGTGCATTTATAAATAAGCCCCTCAAGCTTATTAAGTTTCTCGTTTTTCGATCCCGGAGACTCCGGAGTAATTTTTAATGATGTAAACAAGGAGGTCGTCGCTCGAGACGAAGAGCCAGAGAGAAATGGAAGAAGTCGCACAGATCTTGACCGAAGACAAATGCAGGATTTGTTGTCGGGCCAAAAAAGGCTATTTTTCTAGGGCTGTCCCTGATGCGTATTTGGGGGATTACGTTGTCCGAAATGAGAGCAGAATTCAACACGTTGCAAACAACGAAATAACGTTCCAGTTTCTTTTAAATTATAGCCCACCATGCGTGCCCCTTTTTAACTTTATATTTTTATCTTTGCTTTTTATCTTGACGCTGGACTATCGATCGACCTTTTTTGAGGGTGTTTCGGTAAACTATTCGAAGACAGGAAAACGTAAAAAAGAAATGAAATTGCATTATTTACAATTTTTTTCGAAATCTATATTTGAAATGTTTATACATACTTTCTTTTATTTTATAACGAATTAGACTTTTGTAACAGCGTTTTGTCCGGTCGACAGAGATAACCTGTCCCTTCGAATGGCCAAAACCAAGGAAAATGATCGTCATCTTGAAGTAGTATATGGTTCACGATCGCGTGACCGATTCGCGGAGGAACGAGAACACCGAAACGATCGCCGGAAATCTATGACTGTCCTTGTAACGATATTGTACCATACTATGTGTTTGTGCTGTCTCTAGAGAAGAAAGATCTATATTAAAAGATGGTATATGTATACACGTGTACATTCACACAGCTGTACGTGCGTGTACGCGTATATAGAGATCTATTTACAAGAGATCGCTGAAAACGGTTCGCAACAGTTTTTTTTTTTTGCGACCGGTTTTAGCGACGCACAACAATTACACGCCAATACACACACCACATACTTCAGGATATTCCTTATGTTACGATGTAATATTATATTTATTGAATAAAGATAGTAACTGACGTATTTTAATTAAGCGGTGTTCCATTTCGTCTTTCGCTCAACAATGACGACCCGAGGTTTGTATTCCTGAATATTTGTTTACTATTGGTAGCATGGACACCCAAAGTGTCATAAAACTGTTTATTATTCACTATTCCTTGTTTTTAATAAATAATCTAGTCCAGTAGCAAATCTGTAACTCTGGAAGACAGCAAGATTCATTAAATCGTAATTTTTTCTCTGTTATTCTTTAAAAAAAATCTCTACAAATCTTTGCCTAGGTATGACAGACGAAACATTTATTTCCCCCCGAAGATGAACCACCCTGTATAGAGGGAGGGAATGCGGAGAAGCAACATTAAAAGACTAGCAGAACTAATATACAAATGATAAGGCGGGGAGGCTCAGACGTATCGCTCGGCAATCGAATAACTAGCAGCGTATTTTCTGTCGTTAATTAAGGACGTCAGGAGGAACATTCGGAGCCGTGAAAAGGCCGCGGGGCGGAAAAGAAGTCGATGTTACGAGTGTCAGCTCCACGGCCGCGTCTAACGAAGCTCGGATGGAAACTCCGCTAAAAAGGAAATCGAACCAATTGTAATTAAAAGTTGTATAACGAGAAGAACCAACCCTCTGGACCCAAGTTTCTACCTTTTCCTCGTCGAAGAGATCCTCGGAAAAGAAGGGCGCGTTTCTTTTTTTCTTTTTTAGAATCTTTGTTGAAAATGGGAACGTATAACGTGCAAAGATTGTTTCGAAAGTAAACTTGGACTTGGTAGGGAGAACGGGGAAAAGTTTCATTTTTCTCTGGTATGTTCAAAGTATTTCCATTTTGATCTCGTTTCCGGAGTCGTCTTTTTTGTCGAATTAAAGTGACTGCTAAATTAATTACCCGTGTGTTAAAGCCAAACTAGTGTTCACTAAATTTTCAATAAACAGATTCTTTGACGTAAAAACAATTCGTCAATGATTCCATTTGATCCGAATAGATTCAGTGGCCCCTAATAAGTTAAAACACCAGGATGGGTCTGTCACTCTGTATCCATGATCAAAGAAATAGAATTTTCCAAGCACCTATCGAGCGGATACACCGCTGTGGAGGGTTTAACAATGCTTTTTGTGCACGAGACAACGGCTTATTTTCGCGTTGCCCGTGAAACTCGAACGTAATATCGGTACAAAGGGTTAGGAACTGGGCCAACCGCGCAACTGCTTCCAAATGAAGCGGATTCTTGCACCCGGAACGAGTAAATTTTTCACCCATTCAACGATCAGTCGTGAGAATTAACACGCCTTTTATAGGGTGCAATTTTCTTTTTTTAGTTTCTAAACCAAAGGACCCAGACTGAACTTAGTTTTCTTTTGGGGACGAAGCACACCTTGCAAAGTTCTTTTTCCTCGAACCTGTATTTTAAACCATCAAACGGGAAACTCCATTTTTTTCTCGCTGAATGGCGGCCCGCTGAAATAAAGACGCGAGGAGTTTAATAACTCAGACCTGGCCGGATAAGCAGACATATAGCTGAGCTTTTACTTTTGTCTCGTGAAAGCCAAAGCCACGATACAAGCTCTGCTGCACTCGAAAGTCGCCTGGAATTTCGTTGGAAACGCGTCATTAATTTTTATGGAAATACAGGACCGAGGATTATAGATTATAAACCGTAGCTGTTTTTCTTTTAACCGTGGATCGTCTTCGGGGCAAATTATCCCCTTGAGCTTACACGGTTATGGCAGGGCATATTGTTTTTCCTCTTTCGAAATTGCCTGGAGCACGGCTCGGTAAACCGTGACGGCACACGGTCGTGTATAGGTATCTGCGCTTTAATTACTTATTTTTTCTCGACGCTCCAAAAAGCCACCGATGTGTAATACGGCCTGTTGTGTGCTGCGGGGCTTCTGTGCGCGCGCGTAAAGCGCGACGAGACAGTGTGACCAGCTTCGGCATAATTGAGTGCATCGACGTCGGCACTAGTAACTACGAACTTCCTTTACTGCCTAACGGAGTGGTGCGAAAAACAGACACTTATTCACGTATACGTGAGCTTGGCGCTTCGCGGAACTTGGGAACATCGAGAAGGAAGGCGAGTATGAAACTTCCTTCTCGCTCTTGCAACAGTCGATGTTTGACCTGGCTGCAATTGACATACGATTTCCAGTCTCGAAATCTAAACGTAAACGTAAAAGTTTTCGCGCAACGGTACTGCGACGTAGGCGCGATTGACACATTTCTGTGTAATAAATTGATACAGTTATTCAAACACATTAATTCTTCTATTTAGATCACATTTTTAAAAAATATTATTATTATTATAAAATCGACCGGAATAAACAAAAACCTACAAGAGGTATAACCATCATTATCCATGGGTTGATCACGGTCAAAGTTTAAATAGACCTTAAAAGGAGAACATCAAACTTAAACGTGGAGTTTCATTGAAATTCATTCAGCCGTTTAGACGCAATCATGCTAATAGCATACCTATGTACATGTGCACATATGCGTATATAAGCACAGTAAAAGAAAGTTTCTTTTTTTTTTAATAGTCACAATACGATGAAGGAGTCTTGAAACGTGTATTTCCGTTAAAATTTTCGAAATTTTTGTTCGTTAAATCAGTCGAGACTGGAAATCGTACGCCAACTGTCGCGAGGTCGAACTTCGACTGTTGCAAGTTCGATAAGGAAAGGCTCACAACACCCGTTGGTTTTCTCGATATCTCGAAGTTGCGCGAAGTGTCGAGCTCTCGTACGCGCGAATCATCAAGTAGTATGTGTCTGTTTCCCCACCGCCCCGTTAGGCGCGAAAGGATGTTCGTCGTTTCTGGTGTCGTCGTCGATACACTCAATTATGGCAAATCTGGTCACACTGCTGCGACGAGCGTACGTCAAAGCCGGTAGTGAATCTCTGCGGGCCGCAGTGCGAGGTTCAGGCCGCGGAAACACGTTCCAACAGTGCAAAACACGTATCCGTAACTTTCTGCTTTTTCGCCCTTTTGCTCGCACGCGTCTGACTGTGTGTCTATCGATTCGTCACTAGTCTCGTTAACTCTTCGTGGCGCAAGAATCGCATGGCTTTGACACATTTCGTGAATAGAAAGGGCAAAAGGGAAAGATTTCTCAAAGGAAACAATCATTAGCAACAATAGCCACCGTGAAAATGTGCTACACTCGTGAGATGTGGAACAAGTGGTCACCGATGCTAATTATTGCCTTCGAATGGACGTTTTATAGGTGGTCGCATGAAATCTGTGTTGTAAAAAGTTTATCGCATTTAACTTGTTGCTGCACAAACGTTGGAGTAGCCCTGAGACCTTTCATGAATGGGGAGGATCGCAAAAATTCGTAAAAAATGAATGGAGGGATTAGTTAGCATAACCTCCGTAACTATATAGCAAGTGGTCACTTATATTAACCATTGTGCTTGAATAGACATTTTGTAGGTGATCATCTAACCATTGTGCTGCAGATAATTAAGGGAATAAATAATCGGTTTTCTAAATCGTGTTTAACTGTCAACTAACGAGGAAGAAACACGAACTATCCGACTTGAATTTTAATGTACTTTTGCATAATGATAGTGTGATCCTTTTTAGTGTATAAATAATTTAACTGAAACAATTGCAAATTAGCTCTATTCACGGAATGTCTCGTAAAATTTGATATTAATTCGGTTCATAAATTTTTGTGTATATTATGCAATAGATTGAATTGTTTTAAGTGTAGTGCAGTCCACACCAGACTGCGACACTTACAGACGATTCACTGTAGCATGTGAGTGTCCTTAGGTCCTGGTGAAGACAATTCTTTTAATTGTTACAGTATTGCAGTACATATTTTCTTCCAATACAAAAATACACAAAAACTTATGAACCGAATTAATATTAAATTTTACGAGATTATATTAATTATTTATAAGTCTAGACCAAAAGGGATCGCTCTGCTATTAACCTACAAAAGCAAGTTCGTGTTATTCCCTCGCGGGTCGCAGCTCTTGCATTTTGCAAAGTTGCAATGTTGTTCGTGTAATTAACCCGTCGTGTGTTTTTCGCGTTTGATTTTTGCCAGGGCCGTTGATGAATTCTCAATCAGACCGAAGACGGTAATGCAAATTAAGTGGGTTATTAAGCAGGAATCATCGAGTTTGAATGCCAAAGCCGTGATACTTCCCGTTTATATCCTTGATGTTTCTTTTTATCGGTTCACGGTGTTTCCCGACCGGCTGCAGGAAAGTTTGTTAAACCTTTAACATGTCAGTTTCCGAGCGCACCTTTGGCGAAGCATTTGAATTATTCCGTACTTTCTTTTCTAATTAGAAGTTGCGTCTCAGAACGCAGACAGTGCTCTCCGTGCAATTATGGAAATCCGTATGCTGGTTCGCGTATTCGTTGGCATTAATTAACGATTTAATTGCCTAGGTGGATGCCCAGTTTCTTCGAGAGCTTTCGAGCGTATCCGCTGGAAACGCGTACAATAGACTTCTCAGTGACAATTTGAATGTGCGCGGTCGTCGTTGAATCGCGAATGGCGGTCGTTTCGATCTCGTCGAATTCGCCAACACGTGAACCGTACGCGAGTTAACCGGTACATCTCTCGAATGACACCATCAAACTCGTTTCTTCACGCTCTTCTACCCACGAAATACGATTCCCGTCATTCACGCTAGTACTCTGCAAAATAACGTGTTCTCGTAAATCCAAGACACCTCGATTGTGAGCCGAGATGTAAACTAATCTCTGTGAGGATATAAACCTTAGACGACCACGCGATTTTATTTTACGTAAAGTATACTATTCTACAGGGTGTTTTACTACTAATGGTAATTCCTTTAGAGGATGATAGTGCAGGGCAAAATTCTAGAATAAGAACATTAGTAATTTTTCGTTGTTAGTATTTAAACCATCTCTCATCGTAATTTGGAAATTTCGCAATCTAAGTTCTAATTCGACACAAAATTCAGTTCGAAAATGGCGAGTTTTCTGCCGTCACTGTTACGTTCTCACGATGATCCGACGAGTAAAATTCCAAAGCAATTGACTGAATCGTCGGCGAAGTTAAGTCGAATATTGTCCTCCTTTAGATCGTAATTGACCGTTGTACAATCGCCGCTCGAAACAGGCAGCAACAGCAGCGCGGGGCGATAGAAAAATTATTGTTAATGTAGCTCTTTTATCTAGGAAATTGAGGCCGTCGGTTTGCAACTTGGCAGCGATTCAGGTCGGAGATGCGTCGCGAGTGAAATTGCACAAACCAGAACACGAACTGCAGAAACCACTTGCGGGCGAAAAGGAGAGAGAAAAGCTTGTATAGATACGATAAATAATTCCGTACAAGTTCCCTGGGACTGTACACACTGTAAATAGGCGGACTATTTTTCGACGGAACGTCGCAACGCCAAAGTTTTTATACCAAACTAGAATCTATATATTTGCGGACCTTTTTGTCGATATTTATTCTACGAGAAATATTTTTACGACGAACGAGAAGCGAGTGAAAAAAATTAGTGACTATATTCAGCGATAAGACGTGCTAGGAAACGTGGAATTTTCATCGACGACGATTTCTTCGCGATCGCGAAGATCCAAACGGTTCGATCGATCGTCGCGTGCATCGGCGAAACATCAGACGCGATCGTGCTCGCCGGACACAAGCGCGATCGTAGTGGAATGAACGAATGTGATCGAGTAATCGAGCACGTATTTCGTGAATCACCGAGGACTCGCGAGATTCCTCCGTGTGGTTGCGTGTGCCAAACGCTCCGAAGAAACGACCGTTATGACGCGGACTACAGAAGCGAGAGGACTACCGATTGAAGTAACACGGGAGGATTCCACGACTATTTTAAGAACGCCGGCGATCATAGTTTGTGAGAGAAAACTGGTAAACCGACGAGCCGCCAGACACGTAGGCGTCAATAGTCGATGATAGCTCAACTAAAGAAACGTTGGGAGGAAGAAACGGGGCCCCCAAGTCGCGCGGCTTGGTGTAAATTTTCTGTCAGTATTTTATTCATGATCGGGAAGTGCTATTTGCCCGTGTAACAGACCATAAATTAAATAATCGAGTGAGAAAACAAAATAAAAACATGGAGGGAAGGCCGAAAATCGAGATTGTCCGAGTGCCTTCGAACGAACATGGACAATTCCGGTCCCCGGACGGTGTCTATGGCGGATACAGCCATGTTCGCGTGGGCGCGTATTGCCCGGAACCGGAAGTCAAAGTGGTGGTTTGCGACAGCAAACCGCCGATCGAACAGTCACGGAAATGTAAGAGGTAAGTTTTGCAGCGCCATATACTGCTGTTGTTTTTGAATACTTTTAATTAATCAGTTCGAATTACAGAAACTTGGGACCAGTCTCGAAACTACTAAGACGTCGTCATCATGCGACATATCTCGCCACAAAATCCTGTGATAACATTTATAGCGTAAATAGAAGTAGTTGTTCCTTGAACTGGAAGGTCAGTCAGTCTGTGAACGATCATGGTAAGAGTTTTTTTTTTACGTTAACCCTAGAAAGGGATGAGGGCTTCTCGAGACCATCTGCGTTATTTTATTTAACAACTATATTCAACGTATCAAAAGAAAAGACAAAAGAGAGGACGAGGTTTAGCAAATAAGCTTGATTTAGGAATTAATTCAATTTAATCCTTAACTTATACTCTATCTGAAATATAAGATGAATGATAGTAGGCGTCTATAAACAAAAAGACAAGAATGTAGTATTATAGAAGATTGGAAATTATAAAACGAGTTGGAACGCAAGATCTATGAAATGTACATCGACCGAGAGAGAATTACTATGGTAGACAGACACATAAAAAAAACACACACACACAAAAGCGATGTAATCACATCTACAAGAACAATAAGAATAATGAAAACACAATACATTGAACAAGAGAGGATAGTTAAGGAGAAAAAGAGGGGCTATAAACACGTCACAATTAGTGTTGTAAAAGTAAGCCTTAAACGAGCCTTAAAGACTTGTGCATGATTCTAAAAGTCATTTTACTACTTATCCATATAAGCCTCTAGATTTTATGACTCGTTGAAAACTCACTTTTACCACACTAATCATAATAATTATACAAGAAAACCACTAAAGGATTCAATAAGAATAGTTTAATAGTAAAAGAGATTAAATTTTGATGAAGGGATGGAATACCAACAACCAATATGGAGGATTTGAAAGGATTTAGATGCAAACTATGTAAATTATATTCTTTCACATAGCAGATTCAACACAATGTAGATAAAAAATCTTAATTAGTCGAGTGTCATCAACATATACAGGGTGTTCGGCTACCTCTAGCAAAAATTTTAATGAGCGATAGTAGAGGCCAAAATAAGACGAAAATCAAGAATACTAATTTGTTGATGGAGGCTTCGTTGCAAAGTTATTAACATTTAAAGTTCCGCCTGTAGAATGACAATCCGCTAAACAGCTGCGTTCGCGCGGACGGTTACGGCAGGCGAGTGCTAGTGGTTCTCACGCAGCATGAAAAATCCTGCTTACCGACATTATCGACAGCCTTAGATTTTTGTCCACTTATGGGAATGCGAACACCTTACATGCTAGTCAGTCGTAAAACGCGTTCACGCGACACATTTTAGACATATTTGATTCAGTTATTGTTGCGACGCGAGCAAGACCTCGCAATTTAGCCTTTATGGCAGGGTTAGTTGGCGACAGTCAAGGCCCTCGGTCGAGCCGTTGGCCGGGCCTGCAAACGACCCTCAGCCTTTTGTTTCTCAAGGGTAACCAAGACGGAGTTTTCTAGACAGCTGAAATGCACGTGCGCGGCTAGCGTGCACTTTCACTTGGCTAGCTTTCACTTAATTGTTACTAACATTCAAATTTACTAGAAAACTCCGTCCCAACCCCGGAAAGGACTGACTAGCTGGCCGAACCCGTAAGTACCGATGCTGCCCTTTGTCTCCGCTGTGTGTGAGAGAGATAAGCGAGGCGAGTGACGTAGATCGGGGTCCTGTTCGGCATTTGTTTTTCTGAACCTCGTCGATCGATGGCACAGTCAGCTGCTAGTATTGTTACATTCTTCGCCGTGAACGTAAATCGATGCGAAAATTTCATTTATCCTGCGATTCCTTTTTACATTTTTAAATTGAAGTGTATTTGAAAAATTAATAACAGTTTTATTCGTAAGTAACTCGGAAGAATCGTGATACACGTACACGTAGACATTCACGAATAACATAATCGCGGTACGTGTTTATTTAATTGCATAGTGGTTAGTGCCTGAAAGGATTATTTGTGGATACTTGTGGACACTGTGGACAATCGTGGGGCGTGTATAATCGCATGTGGGTGATTTTTGTTCACAACATTGTGTATTAGAACTGGCATTCACCCTTTCTCTGTGAAAATCTCGTCGGGCGAGTTTTGATATGCCCTTCTGGATTTTCATAAGACAGGTTGAATCTTATTCAACGTAAGATGTTCGCATTCCCATAAGTGGACAAAAATCTAAGGCTGTCGATAATGTCGGTAAGCAGGATTTTTCATGCTGCGTGAGAACCACTAGCACTCGCCTGCCGCAACCGTCCGCGCGAACGCAGCTGTTTAGCGGATTGTCATTCTACAGGCGGAACTTTAAATGTTAATAACTTTGCAACGAAGCCTCCATCAACAAATTAGTATTCTTGATTTTCGTCTTATTTTGGCCTCTACTATCGCTCATTAAAATTTTTGCTAGAGGTAGCCGAACACCCTGTATACCTAGTGATTCTTTTAATATGAGTAAATGTTAAACAAGAAAAAATTTAAGAACAGATGGGATGCAGAGAATAATTGACTTCATAGTACACAAAGTATATTTAGTAAGATTAAGCACAACCTGCTAAGTGCATTGAGAAAAATCACATTGCAGAAAAGTTATAGCAGCTAATGAGAAATCAAAGATATGTACAGTAAAAGTTAAAGATGCAAAGAAACGAATCAAGACAAAAAGAATAAATATATAGATTAAAGGAAGTAAGTTCAATTTTTTTAAGATATTGAGAAGGTTCTCCTTAAGAGAAAGTGGTTCAATAGTAAACAGAAAACCGACAAAAGTAGGAAGAAAATCAATGAAATAGTTATTAATGACAAAAGTATTAAAAAATAGTTGAGGAATGAAGGACTTACGCGAACAGTGATAAAAGATAATCAAAAAAACTGCTTGAAGGAATACTGTAAAAAAGATCTTGTGAAATATTCGTTTCTCAGCATGACTGGTGGAAGCAAGATTTGTAAGCTGTTTGTAATAATTCCACGCAAACGCTGGACTGGATCTTCTAATTCAGGACAGAGCACTATTGTATAGCATAAGTTTCTTACTGTCGGTTGTAAACCAAGGTGTCGACGGTTTAAATAACCGTAATTACCGAATTAGCTAAATCTATCACACAGAAATACAATAAGAATATTACGGAAAGTCGAAAATAAATTTCAATTAGGGAAAATAGAACAGGTACTCTAGTAGTCACGTTTGAAACGGTAATCCATTCACGGTATTGTTTTTTTACTGAGTGTTCCTTCTCCAGCCAATTCATAGAGGTCGGGAAATCCTTCGTTCGTAATATGGCTTTTTTCAAAGTGATATAGAAAAATACGACGAATGTAAATTTGTTTAGTAACACGCATTTTTGATGCTGAAACAGAGGAGAAACAAATAATATAAAAGTTATGTTTAAGCACCAGATAATATTAAATTCAACAATTTTTGTTTACTCAACGACATTCTTCATCAAATAAAACAAAACAGCAAAATGTATATAAAAGTATACTAAGCAGTATGAAAGGTTGAGATTCAGCAAATAAGACAATTTTATATCCCAAATCAAATGACCATTTATTCTTCCAGCGATTAATTATCGAATAATCTATCTTCTTTGTCGAACAAAATATTTTCCATAGTTTGTTATACATTTTGCTGCATCCTATCTTCTTAGATATACTAGTTCATGATACTTTTTATACGGTATAATGAATTCACTCCATATTCTATCATACACCCCCACATAATGATGTCACCTCCGTGCATAACGGTTTGCTACACATGTCGTGGAAGAAGAGATTACCTTCATGAATACAATACTAGAAACGTATATCTGACAAAATTTGTTTAATCTTAGTTTCATTTGACCATACCCGCCATTTATGATATTTACTTACGAACCCCTCACGAACTTTAATATTTTTCTTTTGAATGTTCGTTTTCTTCTCTGCAACTTTAAAATTGGGCTTTTCAAGAACTTTTGGCACCGTTTATTTACTTATTTCTATTTCCGTGTCGCGTTTTTGAATAATTAAAAGTAGCCGTGATTGCAAACGTTGCTTTATTGGTTGCGATGTATCGCATAACTTTTCGTCCGTTTCGACGATTTATGTTTTCAGGAGTCCTACTGCAGGTAGTATAACCTTACAATGGTTTTTTTGCAAAAGTTAAACAATTTTAGCTGTAGTTCATTATTCCTGTAAACGTGAAACAATTTCTTAAGTAGAAACTGATTTAGTTTGAATTTCTTATTTTGTTCTTTTCGATTTAATGTTTGGCAGAAAATCTGTGTAAACAAATATTGCTATTATATAGGGTGTTCGGCCACCCCTGGGAAAAATTGCAATGGGAGATTCTAGAGGCCAAAATATGACGAAAATCAAGAATACCAATTTGTTAATGAAGGCTTCATTAAAAAGTTATTAACGTTTAAAGTTCCGCTCATACTGAATTTTTTTCTCGAAAATGCGCAGAATTTCAGTCGTGTCTATTCACTAAAAATGATTGTAATTGACCCCCGCAACCAAAAATTTTTCCAAAACGATTTGAAATTTTTTAATTCAATTTTTCAATAACTTTTTAACGATGCCTCAGTTAAGAAATTGATATTCTTGATTTTCGTCTTATGTTGGCCTCTAGAATCTCCCATTAAAACTTTTCCCAGGGGTGGCCGAACACCTTGTATAGAATGCCTTTGTAATCGTTATACAACCAGAACGAATATGAGTGATTTGTGATGATATACAAGGGGATCGTAACATAATCGAAATAGTGATTTGTCATGCAAAAATGAGCCAATATGATGTCATGAATTTATCGCAGACTACCTAAATATTCGAATGCTTCTTACAGTTAGCACAGAATAATTTTCCGTTCAATAAATTACAGTTTATTCTTTGATGTGTTCTTCTGTTACATGTTTGTAGTACTTTCCTCTTGCAATTTATTCATCTCTCATTAAATTTGTTTTTTTTTCTGTTATATTTCCTATAATATTTACAACACGATTCTGCAATTCGATTTATTTTTTAATTAATTGGTTGGCTAACTATAAAAAGATCCTTCGCCAATTTATTTTTTAAAAGCATTTCAATCCGGATAAGCTGTTATAAATAAAGAATATTTACTAATGTATAAAACATCTTTCTGCAGTTTTTATCTTTGCTTTTTAATTACTACTCTTGCTAAACCAAAACCAATTCTTAAACGCCAATCTTAAAAACATAAATGACAATAAATAACATAGTTTTAAGATGTTTTGACTGGTGTACTCGTCGGAATGTCCATCTCTTATCAATCTTTCCGAAGCTAATAAATATTCAAGTTACGTAATCGAGACGAAATGAACAATGTTTGTAATTATTTTTCAGGCTTTCAATCCCGACAAAGCAGCAGTCTGGATTGGCGAGTTGGACGAACCGTTAATAAACTACATTGGAGAGACACGACCCGCAGCGCTGAACAGCTTTCGAGAAGTGGACCGATCGGTTCGGATCATCTTCAGACACCCAGTACAAAGTACTCGTCAATCTATCCCCCGCAAGTACTCGAATTGTAATCGACAATTTATTCGGAATACGATTTTCCCGTTTCAGATCAAAGCTCATTTCGCTGCTTCGACGACTTTCCCCACGGCTTTCGCGACCTGGCAGTAAGAATACCTTGCAAGCATCGCCAACGATCTGCCCGTGGGTACAGGTTGAGTACTCATCGGAGTCGATTAATGATGGAGTACGCGAAGATTCCCAAGAAAGCGACGCAAGCTTTCAAAGGGAATTGCAGATGAACGAACTGAAGAAACGCATGGCCGGAATCCCCACCACGTCTCAGGTGATTAATACTTTTCTTTCTAGAGTTGGAAAATTGGAACTATCCTCGCCCCAGATTCCGGGGGCTTCCTCGTTTCGCAATTGTTCGTTTGTCCCGTTACCGTCGTGACAATTCGATATTATAATTTGTACAATTAAGAGTAATCGATTCTCCAGACGTTTGAGTACCCCACGGATTGTTTAAGTCGTCTGGAACGAAGACAAATCGAAGGCGTGTCCGCTAATGGCTTCCGCCTCGACCGATTTGAATGGAAGGCTCAAAAGCAATAAGAAATGCGAACAGTCCTATGACAATTGTATTCGCGTCGTTTCCGCGTTATAACCGTCGAAGAACTGCTACGATCCATTAGCACTTTACATCGAGATTTTTTACGTATCAGGTTACCGCGAAAGTCAGTAGGGATGGCAAGGAACAACAAAGCTCGTCACAGCCTAGGATACAAGTGCAACAACCTGAAAACGACTGTAATAACGCCTGCAAATCGTAAGCTTTATATTAATTTTGTTTATTTGACATATTTGAGACTAAAACGAAAAGTGTGTTGACCGCTTTGAATCTTCTCTAGAGCTTTCCTTGCACCGTAAAAGTAGAAACAGTACATTTAAATCCATGCATGAATTCAGACTGCACTTAACATTAGTAACGTAACGTAACGTAAACGTAAGCGATAGAAACGTGTATCACACCCAATAAATAATTGAGAATGTTTTCTGCACTGTGGTTTTCTTACGTAGCACGAGTGTCCTAATTAATATCCCTTAGAATGAGTTATAATAGTAAAATATAAATCTACGAGGGTAAAAGTGAACAACAAGAAATTACCGACGATAAATACTGACAATTTTATTAATACAAATACTATGGTACATTTTTAAGGCGAACTCACCTCATCCGCAATTCATTATACAAATTTCCAATTTATTCGCGAATGGCGCCACATTCTAGACGACCTCCAGCGACTGGAATTACTATTCGTAATATGTACAAATCAAATTGTAAAAGTAATCTGTACAGTAATGATTCACATATTTCTGAAGTCGGCAAGTACCCAACGTCTTGTAAACTAGACAGAGGTGATTGTTTTTGGCAGGTACGTGAATCAGGGCACCCTCTTGCTCTTTAGGGTCTACGTAATCTATAGTGTCTTCTTCAGGGACATGATTCGTATGAAACTGAATTATTACATCAAGAGCACCTTGCTCAGACACATTCGTATAGTCCATTTCCTCTTCCTGATCGGAACATTCGAGAGAACAGTCTAAAGGGTCCGACAAGTAGTCCCCGATGTCCGACACATCCGAATCATCGGTATCTAAAAACCTACCTAATTTTTGCGGTGAAAAGTTTTCTAGTTTCGACGAGGATGACTGTTGAGATAAATTTTTTTTCTTCGATCGCGGGGATTTTCCTTTCAATATCTTTTTCAGTGTCTCATCCTCGTCGATGTCCTCGTCTTCCTTGTTACTTATTGGAGTATCACAGCCTGATCCCACACTCTTATTATCGGTATTGATTTTTTCTTGATAATCTTTATTGCTTTTACTCGCTCTTGGCGTATCCAACGAGTCCTCCTGTCCCTCTTCGTTTTGACTTATGCATCCGTTGCTACTGGATTTTTTTTCGCTCGTGGGAAGAGCCGATTTGTCAGATATTAATGTGTAGCAACCTTTTGACCACCTCTGCAGTTCAATAATCATTTTTGGATTCATAGTTTCTTTTTCTGGTACAAGGTCTAATTCCGTGTAGTCCTTTAACAGTTGAAACATAGAAATGGACTTGAACACGTTGTAAAACTCCTTTAATAATTCAGGCAGGGTCTCCTCTTTTGCCACTTCATAATTACGAATATCCGCTGGGCCAACTTTTTGCCAAACAATGGAAGCTGACGATAAATCTGTAGCTAATTTCTCATAGATATCTTCTCTCAAAAAATTAGACAAAAATGCAAATGATTCTTGTTCTACATCTTGCTGAATTTCTTTAACAATATCAGCGAAAAGGTAACACTTTGTTATCCAATTGTTCAAATCTACCTGTGTGTTCACTGGTTTTATATAATTTGGTTCTATGCCTGGTCTCGCAGGCCTGGTATTTTGTCTAACAGGTCCATGAAACCAACCATTAATTGACCAACGAGATTTATCTGGTGAAGTTATTTCAGCTACTTGATGATAAGAATTATCCACAACTTCAAAAAATACAAGAGAGTTGTATTCTGGTATTAATGATTTTATAACATTTCTAGGCAATCCATTTTTGTCTGTGTCAAATAGATCTAGAGCTCCTCCATCTTCTGCAGTCCAGTTTTTCGAAAGATACAATATAAAAGCAATTCTGCGATCACCCATATTATCATCGTGACAAAGCAAATAGTCTGTATCCGAATAACAAGCACTAGACATAGATATTTTTTTATTGAGTTCTATCTTAGTGTTTCGTTCCATCCACATTGCAAGGTCAGTTTGAAAAGTTTCATATAAGAGCTTTAAATTTTTAGTGTCAATATTGGCAAGGTCACTGGTCTGTTCAAATTGATAAAGGTCTATACTATTTCTTCTACTTTTGACATCCAACAATTCATTCTTTATTTCATCCATGAAATCTTCGTTACATAAAAAATTTGAAATTTTGCATATTCTATAGGGGTTTGATATAACCTCTAGATTGTCCTTTTTTATGTCACTAAAATTATGCCAATGTTCATAAAAAAGTTGTTGAAAGTTGGACGAATAGACATGATCCGAGATAACGGAATGCTTAAGCTTCTTCAATAATGGTTCTTCTTGGGCCATAACTCTATACCTCTATTATTTTAACTGATAAGAATTCCTGCTTGTATTTTCTTATGCTATCAGTCTTTTTACAATACAGCTCTCGTCATTGCGTTAACAATACATGTCCCTGTTTAAATTACTTACAAGTATTTTCTATAAATTGATGAAATACTATAAACTATATCACATTTTTTTATCTAATACATGGATATGTATCGTTACACATTTCGAATAAGTATATGCTTTATACATTAAAATGAACTTTCTGGAAGAAACACTAGTTACGTGCACCCTCGTGATCGTTTATTTTTCTGAAAATATCATCCTTAAAGGTTACCGCTTTTGGAGCGAGTTTATTCGTTCATTCGATGATTGGCAATGATTCCCCTGGATTATTTCTCGTTCAGTAAAAATGGTGTTTCATTCTCTACGAACCATTTTGTCTTGATAGTAGAAATATATCACAGTTTTTCTGAATGCACTCACCGGATGATGTGCGGCACTTGTTTCTCGGTACACGCAGCCCACGTGGTCGCTCGACCCACACGTGTTCTGAAAGCAGTCGGTCGAAAAGCCGATTAATAGAATTCCGCTCCATTTCGCGATCGTGACGACTGACAAAATAAACAAGTCTGGTTGAACAAGTGGCGTCACTCGCAACAATTACATACCAGAAATTGCACGTGTGTCCAAATTTAGCGAACTAGGTCCGTCGTTCCGTGTCACCACGCAGTTGCATTCTGCCTGCCCAGGGTCTGCTACTCTACTACCGCTGGCGAAAACGTCGATTCGATCGAGCCAGGAACGTCGCACAATATTCGCGCACCCTGGCTATTCGCGGCTTTCTTTATAACGTAGCCAGATGTTCCGGATCATACAACATAAACTAAAATATGACATATCCGTAAATTACAAATTTTTTGTCCAAAACATATGTCGTACTTTTAAATATTTAACTTACACGGATCCTATTTTCTATAGGTTTCTATTTAACCTTATTTTATTTCGATTTTTAAAACAAGAAATAATTTACGATTTTTATGGGTGTTGTAAATTTTGTTACGTGACAATTATATCGTTCTTCGAGGTTCGTTTGATAATGAAATAATTTATAATAGAATTTATAACGAGACTTTCCGGTATGACTGTTCGCACTGAGTTAATTTTGCAAATTGTGGTGAACGTGACAACACATAAATAGAAAAAGTGAAAACATCAAGTTTGCGATTTCTTTTTTTATCGATAAAATCTCGCGTTCAATTTCGGTTCGTAAAACCTTTCGAATTATCCCGCGCGGCTAAACAGCGTTTGCACGGTCGACCAACGAACGGCGCTATGGACGCTCGTGTCAAGATGGCGGCAGTAGTTCACGTTTGACGGGTGCCGTTGGTCGCATGGAAATTCGGGGCACACCCTGACCGTTAAATTTTGCAAAGTGAGACGTCGTCGTGTCGAATGTTCGATCATAGTGAAATCCTCGTGTAAAGGGCTCACCGGCGATCCTGGAACCGGGCAGCAACAGGACGACGCACGCATACGTGAGTAACAACACGCTCCGTCGAAACCCACACGCACACACGGCGTGACAAGTTTCATCCTGTCCACGGTATTTTTTTTGCGCCCTCGTGACCTGTCAACGCGCGACCCCTTTATCCCAAAACTGTACGTTGCCTGTCTGTCGTGCACCGATAGGTTCGATAACACGAGGGCGGGGTCTTGCAGTCGAATTCGAACAGGTAAACAGGCAGTTAGGTCATTCGGTGTCCCGCAGTCACCTTTTGTTTGTGTCTGGAGCACGTTGTGCCGGGCAAACAATTAGCGGCAAAGCGATCGCGCGAAGTGTTGGCTAAATAGTGCTGTAAAAAAAATAATTGCGTTACAAACACCGATCGTGTACGGTTGTCATTGTCGAAGAATAGCGGGGAACCGCTACTCCGCGTTCCCTGTTTTTTCCTTGAGCCAGTACCATCGGCCTTGAATCGGACTCTTGGTGGCCTACTGTGACGATTATGGCGTGAAAGAGTTTTTCAATTTTGAAATCTCCTGACTACGGTCTTTTTGGAGAACAGTGGTGGTGAGTCAGAGGGGAGCGTTTCATCCTGGGTCTGCTAGTGGACTCATCGGTAAGACAACCCTAGCAGATTCTGTCTTAGACGCCGGGATATTCAAGTCGATCGAAGAGCGTATGTATAGGAATAGGTGGTCGATCGAGTACTTGTGAGAGAGGTACAGGTTGAGTCCTGCTGGCGAATTTTATCAGAGCACTGTCGAAATAGCGTTATGTAAAATATTACTCCAGATAATATGTCATTTCCTTTAATCGCTGTTCGTGAATAATTGCTTATGTTCGATTAAATGATAGGAATAGTAACGATCGTACGAGATTACAGAACGATGAAATATTGAAATCAATATTTGTTAATTTGTGACGACAAGTTTATAGCTTTCGCAAAGGGTTAACACTCTTCGGAGAATGCCCAGAGGCTGTTGTCGATGCCTTGAAAATAATTATTATATTCACTTAATTGCGAATAAAATGTTACTTAGTCCTGGATTTTGGTCAGTTTTACGCAAACGTATTTATCCAGCACCATCGAGATTTCTTCCGTTCATAAGTGACTATCGATTGCCAAACGAAGCTATGTTTCTTCCACGTCATAGTTTGTTTTTCTTTGGCGATCGCTGCGTTTCTGTGCCCAGTAACGACCATGGAATATCTAGATGTTACAAAATATTAAAGTTACACAAGTTTGTGTCGGTAAAATAATCGTGAAATAATGCAGTTGTAGATCGGAAGTACCAGAAGAGTTGAATGTCAAATGATTTTTTTAAAATACAGGCTGTTCGGCCCCCCCCCCCTAGGAAAAATTTTAATGGGAGATTCTAGAGGCCAAAGTAAGACGAAAATCAAGAATACCAATTCGTTGATGGAGACTTCATTAAAAAGTTATTAACGTTTAAAATTCCGCCCGTTCCGAATTTCTTTTTCGAAAGTGCGCAGAATTTCAGGAATATGTGTATTCACCAAAAATTATTGTAATTGACCCCCGCAACCGAAAATAATTTTTCCAGAACAATTTGAAAATTTTTTTTCGCCGAAAAATTTAGGCACCTACCTTGTCGATTTGTCTTAAAAATTTGTTTTTCATTTTTAATAAATTTGTTTGACGCTCTACAGAAAAGACGTTCAATATTTTTTTTGTAGGTACCCATGGGCTCTACTTCAGAAAAAAGTTTCATTGAAATATATTCACTATTGTAAGAGTTATGGCTGTTTCAAAATTGGATCATTTTGGGGAGGTTTTTCTAACTTTACGGGGTCAAGGAACAACTTTTCGAATATTTTTAGAATTTCTACATAATTTTCACCAAAATACACGTTGTTTACATTTCGAAGTTTTAAAATCCTCCAATCCGTTCAGAAGTTATGATGTTTTAAACATTTTCATGAAATTTCGAGGAAGCATTTCTGGCCAGAAATTATATTTTCGGTAATGAATTTTTTTCTCGAATGTGCACAGAATTTCGAGGGTATATCTGATCACCAAAAATACTTGTAATTAACCCCTGCAACCAAAAGTAAATTTTTTAGAACCATTTGAAATTTTTTAATTTCGTCGAAAAATTTGCCCACTTACTCGAATTTTTTTCTCAATAGTTGGTAAGAATTCGGGGGTATGTCTATTCACCAAAAATGCTAGTAATTGATCCCTGTAATTAAATATAATTTTTTTAGTTTGATTTCAAATTTTTTAATTTAATTTTTTAATAACTTTTTAAAGAAGCCAAGAAAAAAGAAAGAAGTCAAGAAATTGATATTCTTGATTTTCGTCTTATTTTGGCCTCTAGAATCTTCCATTACAATTTTTCCCAGGGGTAGTCGAATACCCTGTATAGGGAGAAAATATTTTATTTAATTTACTATTTTTCTGTTGGATTTTGGTATTCCTGGTTTGCAGAGCGTGGTTGTGGATAATCAATTTAACTGCCTTGATTCTCTTATAGTTTTTTATTTTGAACGACTTCTTATTACATGGGCTGAATTGTAATTGCCGGACGATAGACAGTACATAAGAGAAATCGGTAAGTTATGCTCCCACACAAACGTACATAACACGCATACTTTACATACTATAGCTCAGGATGTCGCGATTAGTATACGTATGGATTAGTCGATAGTGATTGATCCGACATTTTCTCTTACACATTTTTTTTGTATCATCAGAAATAATAGAGATATTATATGTGCTCATGATATAAAAAAAACATTGTAGTGTCCAGTGGAAAAGGGACTTGTACCACATTTATATCGGTTTTTAATTTGTTGTACCATCAAGTAGCTCTTGAAATCTAGACAGGGACTCGTATGTCCATATTTAATCTATTTTGAAACAGTTTCGGTATTATGAAGGTTTCGAAATAATTTACAAAACAATCATTGAACAAGGACGACCAAGGAATCATGAAAGTTTTGAGTGTCTAGCTTACGATGAGGTAGGCCATTATCCTTTTTTTTCCTTCGATGCGATGAATACCTTCGACAAGATGCAAAGTGCCTCGTTTAACGATTACTCCACTCAAATCACTAAGCTTGTCGGTCATGGCATTAAAGTGTACTGTTAAACTCGAGGTACGACCATTAATGTTGCCGTGCAAACGTTTCTTGTACGTATACTTTAACACCTTGTTTCTTTCTTTTCATTCTATAACTCCAAATCAAAATCTCGTAGAAGTAAATTTTATTCTATAATTAATTTCGCAGTCAAATTCAATTTGCATCGAATTTTTTTGTTCATACAAAGTACCTAGTGTCAGTTTACTAGCGAACAATAGGTCAAATTGAAAACCACGTGACAACGATTTTTTAAAAAGATTTTTTAAAACCTTTCTTAATTTATTGTAGGCACTACGGTGCAGATATAAATTGATGGATAAAATTAACTGGTGTTCGAAACTCGTCAGGACACCTGGTATACGCACAAACCGTTACAAGTTTCTTCGAGGTGCAAAAAGAACGATCTATCCGCGTCTGCATGGCTTATTTTTTCACCCGAGTTTTGTGTGTACATTCGACGCGTGTCGCAGTAAACCGGAACAGCGTGTGTCGATACTTTGCTCTTGAACGGGTTACCGGGAATATGAAATTCGGCGTAAATTACAAAATAACGTGTACGGTGCAATTATTCTTGCATTAAACCTGCTACATAGTTTCGCCGTCGTACACGGTATTACAGTTCCAGTTGCCGACCTTATATGACCGTTTTTATTTTTCCACGGAATTCAATTATAATTAATTAAATGCACACGACTCGTTTCTCCTTCGCAAGAAATCTCGTGCCGGAATCGGAACGAATGTGATTATTAACCCGTTGGTACACTAGCGGCGACTCGATAACAGTATTTAATTTTGTAGGAAAAGGAAGAGCATTCTCCGAGTTTTTTGTCATTACGTTAAAAGGATAGTCGTTTTCTTCCGGTTGGAAAGTAATCATTTTTGAGGAATTTATTTTAAGTAAACGGTGCAATCTACTTATACGAGGTTGCCATCATTTATTTAGCATGTTTCTTTAATACAAAAAATACTTTTTTTCTGGCTGTAAAATAAATAATATCGATAATATTGTTAATTGAAAAAATCAGTACACTTCAAATTGAGGGGATCATCAAACGAGAAGGTGTTTACAGTTTTTCTTTTATAAAACTCCATAGTTTAAGTTTTAATATGAACTTATGGGTCGACCTTTAATACTATTAAACATT